CCCACTTGGCTCTGGGTCAGAGCTTCAGCAGGCTGAGAGGATGGCTTAGTGCAAAGTGTTGAATCCCAAGAGGGTTAAGGATGGAGGGCAGCCTAGCATGGGGTTTCAGAGCCCACATGGGGTAAGGAGAGTGTTCTTATAAAAGAATAGCCTAGTGTGGAGTGCTGGAGACCAGGCAGGCTGAAGAGGGCACCGCTGTAGAGAGGTAGACTGGCATGGGATTTCAGGGCCGCACCTGGGCTGAGGGGCATGTCTGTGTAAAAAGGTGGTCCAGCACAGGTTGCTACAGCCAAAGCAGGTGTGCTACCTAATAACAGAGCACCTAATATTCCTGATAAACATAGTGTGTCATATTCCTACAGATGTATAACTCAATCATAAGGAAACACCAAATGAACACAAATCGAGGGCCATTCTCCAAAAGGACTGCCCTATATTCTTTCAGTTTCAAGGATCTGAGAGTCAAAGAAAGACAGAGGAACTATTCAGACTGAAGGAGACTCAAGAGATGAGAAATAATTGCATGGTGTGGCTCTGAACTGGAATCGTTTTGCTATAAAGTAGACTATAAGGCCATGGAGAAACTTGACTGAAATCTGAAGATTAGACTCCAATATATCAATGTTAACTTCCTAATTTTGCTGCTCTGACTGGAGTTAAGTAGGGAAACATCTCTGTTTCAGGAAATACTGAGGTATTCAGGAGTGATGGGAGGGAATCAGATCAGCAACTTCCTTCCAAAGGGTTTTGTTGGGAACTTCCCTGCCTGGTATCAGAAGCTGTAATCCCCGCCTAGGCTAAGGCTAACGGAACGCCCTTGGAACTGTAAGCCAGCCAGGAGACAAAAGCTTATCTCCCTGGCAGGAGTGCTGCTTCTGCTGCTTCATTCATAACTGAACCCCAAAGCTTGGTCAGTTAGCCAAAGACAGGTAAGATTCCCCAAGGGGGGAACAACCTAAGACAGGCACGATCACGTGGGATCCCCCCAAAAGAAGGACTTTGGGGGCTACAGCAAAAGTGGGTGATGGGCCCTCACTCCTCGGCTTTGACATAGCCTGAGTCCTCATCATCTGGGAGAAAACCTCCTTATCTCTTGGTTGCCTTAGTTCCCTTGCTCCACTAAGCCTGAAACAATGACAGGGTGGTGCAGCTCTGTGCTGAAAAGGGCGGGTTCCCTGGGTGATCAGGCCTAAGAAAGAATATGTAAATTACTGTGAAACCTTCTTTGTTTAGAATGCTCTCAGTTGAATGAGAAGGGTCCAAGGAGGAAGTTAGTTTGTTCTTTAAAAGTCTTACAGCTCTTTGACCCTGACTCAAAATAGGCCCTCAGACCTCCTTGTTTTCTATGGTTTGATCCTTACTTCCTAGCAATGAGTAATGAGCTTTTACCTGAATTCTTATGCAAACGAAACCGATAAAAAGCCTCTCTGGAGGGGGAACAGGGCACTCTCCCCACCAGGGAGGGTGGCCATGGAGCCCTCCAGGAGAGAGGGTGGCCAAGCACTCCCCATGTGAGGAGTGGCCCTGCTGTTCCTATTCCCCCACAGGACCTGGTTGTCTCTGTGTATGTTTTTCTAGTGTTTCAACGAGCCATCCACAGTGTTCCGTGATCACTGCTGGCCGGTGACCCACGCATCAGGGTTTGGCAAAGAAAAGGTCTTAGTACTTGCAAATTTTCTCAAAATTTGAGATTGTATCATAATTTAAAATGTAACAATACTAAGTTTTAAAAAGAGATGAAAATCATGTATAAAGTGTGACCAACTATACAACAGTACAGGCCACACAGCTGTAAATGTTCCTGTATTGAGCACTTATTATGTGTCAGATACTGGAGTGCACAGTTTGTGTACTTTATCTTACTGAACATCACACCAGTCTTACAAAGTGGGTATTGCTAGCTTCATTTTATGCATGAAGAATCTGAGGCTCACAGAGGCTAAGTGATTTGCCCAGGTTCTTAACTAACCTTCAGAGAAAAGAGCAGAAAAAATGCCCAACATGTTAGTAGTAGCAGTCCCTGGATAGTGGGACTATGAACAACTTCTGGTTTTTCCTTTTGTAGTTTTCAGTATTTTCCCAAATATCCACCCTGGCATATTGCTTTTGAAATTATGGGGGAAGAAAAGAGAAAGTTGTCATTTAAAAAGTAAACCATTTGTTGTGGAGCAATGTAAAAATATGCCGGTCATCCAAAACCATATTGAACAACCCAAACTACTAATAGTGATACTATCTCTTAGAAGTGATATTACTGCTGATTTTCATTCAAAAAATTTTGCTTCTCTGTAATTTATTAAGTTTCTATAATTGCTTCATTCATTCAACCAATATTACTGAGCATCTGCTATGATTTATTTTTGTAAGAAAAATTGAACATTGCTAAGAAAAAATGTGCAGTATAAGTCCAAAGGTACATACTATATTAAAAAATCAGGAAGGAAGAATATATATGCTTAGAAAAAGACTGGGCAAAAAAATGATAGTATCAGTTATGTTTCAATTGTGAATTAGAGGAAATTTCATCTCCTCCTAATACTTTTTTCTACACTTTCCCAGTTTTCAACAATATGTGTTATTTATATAGTCTATTCATGGTTGGGTCTCCAGTGCTTAAGGAGCACCTGACACACACGGGAGTCAAGGTTTGCTGAATGAAGAAATGCTTCTGAGTACAAATGCCCCCCCAATATAGCTTTTAAAAGCATCACTGCCCTTTATGTATTTATTAGCTTATGGTAGTTGACAAACTTTTCATTCAACCTGCTCTGCTGTGTGGGAGAGGGCCAAAGAGAAGGCCTAGCTGCCATTTACTGGATGGTGGCGTTGGGGAGAGTAATGTTACAGAAAGACAGGGTGGGCAGAAAGAGGGGACACACTATTTATGTTGCTTTACTGTATTTCTTAAGATGTCTAGCCAACCAATTTCCAGGAGAATTGGAGTTGACACATCACTGTCCTTGCATCCATGGAGGGTAGACTTCGTGCCGTAGTAGTGTTACAGAACAAACAAGGGGGGCCTGGGACGATATACTATTATTGAAAAAAAGCCCCCAGGTCCGTCATGTCTGCCGCCAGAGGAAAGACATCTTTCAATGCCAGAGATTTGTGAAAAGGAAGGAAATGTTTATTTAATGCTATACAAACTTAAAGTAGTGACCATTAGGTCTTTATCAAAAATCCTAAAGTCCCCTAAAACACTCACAAACAGACACAGTCCTTCCTTCCTTCCTTCCCCCTTTGCCCAGTCCAGAGTACCGTATCTCCTAAAGCTGCGGGGGGTCCCCACTCTGGCAAAGGCACGTGGTCCTCTCTCCCCGGGCCACGGGAGTCCCCACTCTGCCAGAGCCGTGTGGTTCTCCCTCTCAGGGCTGCGGGAGTCTCCACTCTGTCCAGGCCACATGGTTCTCTCCCTCAGGGCCGCGGGAGTCTTCACTCTGCTAAAGCTGTGTGGTTCTCTCTCGCAGGGCTGCGCATGGTTCTCCCTTAATGGCTGCTGCATCTCGATTTAAATTCCCCCACCAATCTTCCTCTGCAGCCCCATTTCCGACTCCTCCCACACTCGGCTTCACATGCCAGAACTCATACCCTTCCAGCTTTACTGGACTGCCATCATGAGTCTGGGCAGGTGTGGCCCCATGTCCTGGAGCCAATCTTCTCCAAGCTCCCATGTAGGTGCTGTAACTCGGGGGACCTGCCCCCCAGTTACATCTTGGTGGGGAAGTTACTTCCATTCCCCTGGCTCAGAGCCTGGCCACAACTATTTAACATATCTAAGTGACCAGCCAAAGGCTATAGATATGTTAAATGACCACACCAGAGGTTAGCTGCAAGGCTGTTGCTATGCAAAACAGCTCTCAATGGCCCTGCCCCATTTGTCCCTTCCCCCAACCCACACCTGGGGAGTGGGGGTGAAGACATCTTAAAATCTCCTGGACACCTTGACTTCTGGACCCCATTTCAAATGCCTATTTGGGGTACCCCCTCTTGGCTGCACCCTGTAACAGTAGCTGGGTTCCTTGGGAGTGACATCTAAGGTTCACAAAGGAATGGAGAAGTGGGATGAGGTTAGGATGACTCAGTCACAGCTCCTATGTTGCTTGTAATTATGAATCTCATTTCTCTGGTGATATAAATTAACTTGGATCATAAACCCTAAGAGAGACCAGATATAAGGCTAATGAGAGGTCATAAGTCCCTTAGCTGGTACGTGAACCCAGCTGAGTGCCCAGCATCCACGTCTGCACTTGGCTGTCCAACCCTGTACTCACTGACAGGGGGGTCATGTGCTATAATGATATTGCCAAGTTTGGAGATTCTCAAATATCATATGAAGCAGTCCTTAGGCATACCCAGGGATTACAAGAAGAAACAAGCATTGAAAGTCATCCTTGAGTCCTCTCTTTCTCTTACATGTATACATTGGAAAATTCTGTTGCTTCTGCTCTCAAACTCTATCTACAACCTGACCACTGCCCTCACTTGGATTATTGAAGGAGCCTCTTGACTACGCCCTGCTTGAACCCTTGGCCCCTAGTATATTTCCCACAAAGCACCCACAAGGATTCTTTGAAAATCTAACTCAGAGTCTGTCTTTACACAGAAATCTACAATGGCTCTTGCCCTTGGGCCCCACAAGTCTGTTATCTTTCTGATCTAATGTTCTATGGCTTTCCCCTTGCTCACACCCCTTTAGCCACCTCACCTTCCTTGCTCTTCCTCAGACAGGCCAGGCACACCTTTCCCTTGCTCTGCCTTCTGCAGGAAGTTGCCCTGCCCCCATCCAGTGGCCCTCTTTCTCACCCCTGAAGTCTTCTCTCAAGTGTCACTTTACCAGAGAGACCACTCCTGACCATCAATGTCAAGTAGAAACCACCTGCCTAGACACCACCTCCTTCACCTGGCTTTTTTCTTCATAGCAATCGTCATCATCTGGGACAGTTCTGCTCACCGAGTGTGTCCAGCTTTCCCCAACACATGGTATGAGTGCACTTCCTCACCTTTTGAAGTTGGGTGCAGCCATGTGACTTGCTTTGTCCTGTGACATATGAGTAGAAGTGTCCTGTGTCACTTTCAGGCATAAGCTTTAAGAGCCAATATGCAATTGACCACTCTGTCTTCTCCCTCTGCCATTGAGATGAGCCACATGCCAGACGGTCTAGGTCCCTGGGTGAAGCTGCACAGAGTACAGCCCCCAGCTGACCTGCAAAGAGCATAGAGTGTCTGGTGAGAAATAAATAATGTTGTCTTAAGCCACTGAGCCATTGGGATGTTTGTTGCTATAAACAACCTAGCCTACCCTGACTGACATACCACATACTTATATGTTCATTGTCTCCCCTGTTTCCATCTAGAATGCAATTTCTATGGTGGTAGAACTCTGTTCACTGTTAATTTCTAGTGCCTAAAACAATGCCTAGAGCATGGTAGGTATTCAATAGATGTTTGTTGGCTGACTGAATGATAAGTTGATCACATCAACTGAATTAGAAAGATTTAATAATCGCAGGTGAATCTAATCTTGGACTCACCTACAGAAACATTCATTCTACCTGATCTGAATGTGAACAAAATGGTTCCTGATTCAAGATCAGAAATGTGGCTGTTTATCTCACCAGACACAGCGGGAAAGCACATATCGCCTGTGGGTATATAGCTAGTCACAAAAGCACTAAAGTAGCTGAAGTCACAACACAAATAGAGATCTGGCACACTGCTGAGGGGACGCAGTGACAACATAAATAAAGAGCATTAGCAGGGTTTTTGTGGATGCTGAATGCCGATGCGGTTTCCTTTCCCTGCGTGGACATTAGCATTGGTAATGAACTGAGCTTCACAGGCCTGGGATTTTATCTGTTGTTATCACAAATTGGTGGATGAGGCCCTCTCAGGACTTTTGCAAAAGCTGTGTGTGCTTTTGTGAGCTGCTTTCTTTTCATCTGCTTCCTCCTGGTCGTCCTGAGTCTGTGTGGGGATAATGCATTTCCTGTATCATGTGGCACAGTACAAGGAAACTCATTGTACCCCTTCGGAGGAAGAGTACATCTGTAAGTAGTTTTTAAGAGTGTACTGAAGGATCTTGTTAGGGTGACTTATTCTCTCAGTTCCATTTGGTTGATGAAGTGGGTCACGTGACAGATGTGCATAATGAACTGCTTCAGTTGCTGCCAGTGGGAAGCTCAGCCTATAAAATGCAAAATTTCATGGACTTGCTAAAGGCATAGCAAGCTGATCACATAAGAGAGAAGTCTACCTCATTCTGAGTTGTCATTTCTTACTGCCACATACAATGTGCCAGTGTTGCTAGGCTTTTACTTTCCCCCAAAGTAATTGCCCTTCCAGTTTATTCCTCATTCAAACCGGAAAGGCAGTTGTTTCTGCATACAACTCCCTAAGGAACAAACATTCTTAAGATGTACAAGTAATCATCCATTAAATGCACTTGCAAGGACTCTGTATGTTTTGTGTTTTAAAAAGGAAATATATTTACATCACCGAGCAGGATTGCTGGGTTTTGGGGGGCTTTGTTTTGTTTTCTGCCTCTTCGCCATCTCTTTTCCTTTCACCCTTTTAAACAATTCTTTTCTTTCTCTGTTCCATTCACTTATTTTTCCTCTTTAAACTTATTGGTAATTCCCCAATGGCTACAACATAAGAAATATAATTTACCTCCCATTTTCTGTGGGTGGTGCAGAATAGTGATGTCCAAGCCAAAAAACACAAGTGACAAACCTATTCCAGGAGCAGTCCAACTTGCAGCCCCCTCCAAGATGTTCCTGAGTCACTAAGGAACAGATAGTGAATGAAGAAATAAAAGACAACAATTCAGACTCTAGCCCTAAATATGATAATAGGGGAAATGATTTAAAAGGGCACAAGTCAATTCAATTCACTTCTACCATGGAGTGTCCACATGTGCTCAACACTCTGCTAGGCACTGCAGGGAGTTGAAGAGACAGAGCACATGGCCTTTGACTTGGAAAAAGTCAGTGAATAAATGATGGTGTATGATCAGATATCTAAATGCCCTAACAGCTGCACAGAAAATAGAGCTTTAGGTGGTCCCAGAGGAAAGAGCTCAATGAGAACTTAAATTGTCAGGTAAAGTTTTAGGCAGGCAGCAGGAACTGAGCTAAACCTTGAAAGACAGGTAGATTTTAGATTCTGTCAAAGAGCAAAATACTGTTCAAGACATCAGGAGTCATGACATCTTCATCAAATTCAGCTGTTTTGGGCACCTCACTTCATAACCCCAAATTCCCAGATAATCACATAAGTTAGCCACACAAATTATCTAAAGAACATTTAAAAAATTAATCAGAAGTTAGTATTGGGTTGGCCAAAAAGTTCATGTGGTTTCATATAATAAAAGACACATTTTTCATTTTCATCAATACCTTTTTGATTTGAATATTTTGGGTGTGTCAGCTATCTCCCCCATGGTATAACATTGATTGTTCTCAATTAGTGTCTCGATTTGATTGCTGTCAACTTCAGCTGGTCTGCCTGACCACGGAGCATCGTCCAGGGAGAAATCTCCAGCGCAAAACTTCACAGTCACAGCAATTTCTCCATATATTGCACAAATCTCTTTTTGCATATCAGTTGTGTTTTTATCTTTCTTGAAATAATAGAGCATAATTTGCTGAAAATGTCACTTATTTTCTTCTTCAATATTAAAATGAGTATATGAAAATTCACCAATCTTTATCTGTTTTTTAAAATGCATGCTGATATGACAGCTGTCACCATACAATCCAACAAAATTGTTTCGAATGAAGTTAAAGACAACTAAGTGCTATTACAGCCTAATAGAGCACTATATTACGGAAAAAAACAAATGAACTTTTTGGCCAACTCAGTATAAGGCAATGAATCACAACATAAAGTACTAAGCTGTCACAGTTGTAAGCTTCAAACTGATTTTGAAAACAGGAGGATTGTTTCTCTTGTACACCCATGAGTGTCATGGATTAAAAGTGCTGCTGAAAACTTAAGAAAATAGAAAATATAATCTGGGAAACAAGAGCTCAGTCTTCTAGTAGCAAAACAGCTTATGAAACGTCTTTGGAGCCTTTAAAATATGTTGGATTTGGCTTCAGTGAGTGTAGTGAATTTTCCTTTGTAGACAGAAAGCTGGCACCGGGGCACAGGAGAGCCCCCGGCAACACGGCAACCTCCTTCTGTCTCTGATGCTGGCCAGCAGCCTCTGGTGAAAACCCCTGGCTCTTCTCTGCAGTGGAATGGCAAGACTTGGCAGCAACTGTTGAGTTCACACAGAGACCAGAGTGACTTGTTCTCAGGGTCAGCAACAGTGGAGGTGAGAGGCAGCTCAAGGCCAAGAGTTTGCCTTTCTGACCCTTCTGGAAAAATGTAGCACTGTTGCATTTATTTCTAATTGTAATACTTTGCTGTGGTTTTCCTGGCCATGAGACATGCCCTTTCAACCATTTGCTTTCAAAAGACCTTTGTTAGATTTAATCTGGTTGTTTCAAGTCAAGAACCATGTGCTGTCTCTTCAGCTCCCTGCACGGTGCCTAACCCAATGCTCACCACATCTGGATGCTCGTGGTGGAAGTGAATTGAAGTGACTTAGAGTCTTTTTCATCAAAATAGCTACCCCATAAAATTTATTACCCCAAATGCCTCTTATTCCTATTTCACAAAAATTGGTAATATGGTTTCTAAGGTCTTGAGCCCAGAACTATTAGTCCTTTTGGTTATGAAGGGCTGGAAGGAAAAATTAGAGCTTATGAATAATAGAAAGAAACCCTTTTGGACCATCTCCCTTATTCTGAATGCCGTGAATATTTAAATATGGGAGGACACGCACATGGTATGCATGTGTGTGTGCCTGTGCACAACACACATTCTCACACATCACCTATTTTACTGAAAATGTCCTGATAGAAATCTTTATTATTATTTTTAAGTCATGGCTGTAGTCCTTTCCTCATGGGCACCTAAGAGGTATATGTTTGCAGGTAGCTGAACATATAGCTAAGTGGTCTGCCTAGAACCTAAAATGAGAATGAGTGAATGGTTCTACTGGGAAAGATTCTTTCCCTCGATGTTTTCGTTCCCAAACTCTGCTACTCCTGATTCCTGCAGGGACTGAAGTCACGGTAGATACTACTCAAAAGTAACAACTCCTGAGAAACTGTCTGGAAAATCAACGTGCAAAAGGCAGTTGGCCCCAGAAACCAAGGACTCTTGGCTACAGCAGTGGCATGTTAAAGCCTCAGAACAGTAAAAGGAACCTGTATTTCCTATATTTTAAAATGTCTATTGTTTCAGCCTCAGCTTTCGTGAAATTGAGAGAAATGAATTAAAGATTTTGCTTTTAGCATCTTTACATAAATAAAGGATTATTACTGTTATTCCTTAAAAGACAATGAAAATAGGTGCTGAAATATAGATGCCTTCTTTAAATGACTTGGAATAATTATATTTGTTAAACTGGGCAGCCCTGATATTATATGCTATATAAATCAACTTTCATTATTCTTTAATGATTCCACAATTCTTTTTTCCAGAACTTTGCAAGCTTGACTTGTGTTCACCTTGCTGTGGAATGCTTTTAAATGGCATTTCATCAAAGGGCAGAGGAAAATGATAAATTATAGATGCCAAATCATATAGTAGTGATTTAGGCAGTAATAAGGTAAGGTTGTAAGCAATAAAATAAAAATTTTCCCAATCAACCTCTATATTAGGAACAAAATAAAACCTGTCTGCATAATTAAAGAGAGACATGTCGACATGTTTGTTAATATGGTATTCTGAGGGCTTAAAAAAAAAACACCTTGAAATCATAAAGCGAAATACTGGGTGGAGAGTATTATGCTAAGTGAAATAAGCCAGTCAGAAAAAGACAAATTCCATATGATTTCAGTTATATGGGGAATCAAACAAACAAAATAAACAAAAAAGGCAAAAATACTGGGAATATTTGTCAGTTTAAGTGAAAAAATTCTGTATTTATGAATGGGCATGAGGTAACTTCGCTGTAAGTATACCCCGGAAATACAGCAACCAAGAAAGAAAAGAAAATAACTTGGACTCACTCTCTTAAGCAGCTGGGGGGTCAGGATAACGGGGTGGTTAAGAGTGCACCTGGGTCTAACTTTTGGCCAAGTCCCTCCTAACTTTAACTTTTTGGGGTTTCAGTTTCTTCAGCTGTAAAATAGGGAAGACAGTGAGTCCTAGCTCATAAGGTTCTGTGAGAATAACAAGTAAGCATTTAAAATAGAATCTAACAGAGGAAGCACTCAATAAAAATGGGTTGTAGAATGTCCTACCATTCCTCTTCCCCAACTCCCTGGCAGCTTCCCTTCTAACTCTGAGTGAAAACCGAAGTCGCTGCCGCGTTCTGAGGCCCCACACAGCGCCCCCCCGTGTTCTCTCTGACCCCACATCTCTGCATTTTTCCGCCCTTTCCCAGCTCGGCATCCTGGCCACCCACCTATCCCTCAGACACGCCAGGCACCTTCCCATCTCAGGACCTTCAGTTGCTGCCCACCCTGCCTTGAAGACTGTCCCTCAGACATGCTCACAGCTGGCTGTCACTTCCTTCAGGTCTGTGCTTCAAAAGCACCTTATCAGTGACAATGATCCTCAACTGTTACCTAACGTTTCATACCTCATCTCCACTGACATTTCACAGTGTCCTTTCCTGGCTTTTTTCCTCAGCACTTCCTACTTCCACAACATCTTCCTCCTCAGCACTAACTACTTCCCACCATGCTACATATCTCACTAATTTATGTTGTTTATTTCCTACATCTGCCACCAGAATATAACCTCCAAGAAAGCAGGGACTTTTGTTTCAGTCACCGTTGTATCCCCAGTGCCTAGACTGTCTGTCACAATAGTAGCTGCCAATACATATTTAGAGGCTGAATGAATGGATAATGTTCCTTAATGAAAAAATAATAAGTATATGCTACACATATATTTCCTCATTCCAAAGTGTAATGAAATACAATTTTTTGCCACATAAATTTTTCCTGGTTGCCCTGATGATGGTGAACCATAGATACAGTGACAAGCACTCTTTAAAAGCCAACAGCTCAAAAAAAAAAAAAAAAAGCCAACAGCTCTGTAGCGAAAGTGAAAGGACAAGGTTAGGCCACCCTGGCCACGATGCAGCAGCCACTTCTAAGTCTTCATTGGTTCATCTGCAGGAAGAAGTAACGCTGCGTGCGGGACCTCCCTACTTCCTCCCCAGCTGTGGATAAACCAGGGACGGCTTCAGATTTGCCCTTTCCACCCTGTCCTTTCAGTAGCTACAAAGGAGTGGAAAAGCTTCGTAAGTAACCATGGCACATTATTTCCAAAATCTGAACATGTGCAAAGGCAGAGAATATAGAATACTAGACGTAATTACTGGGGGAAAATTTCTCTATCTACCTCTTTCCTTGTCTCTCTCACTCTCCCTCTACCCCTGCCCCCCACTGAAGAGATGGTATTTCTACACATAGACATGTTTAGAGGGGCACAGGCAAGATGAAAAATAAAATTTCTTGAATGCCTACTGTGCTCCAGGTGTTCCACTAGGGGCTTTACACACTTCATGTAATTCATTTCTTCCAATGATCCTACACCGATGATACTACTATATGCAATCTCTAGAGGAGAAACTGAGGTGAAACCAAGGCTCAGAGAAGTGACCTGCCCACGGCCACCTGACTAATAACTGGCAGAGCAAGGCATGGAGCATTTATCAGGAACCAGATGACCACTTTCATCTTCTCTTTGCCCCTGTAAGCAGTTTCCTAAGCATTAGACCAATTCGCGTGTCTTGACCAACAACTGCTGAATTCGACAATTAGTGTTCAAGATGGATTTCTGCAACAGAAAGCTGTTGGCTCAGAGCTACTGGAGACTCAGCAGCTTCCCCTACTTTCATCAATGAGGTGAGGACATGTACACCAGGAATGGGCTGATATCAGAGGAAGAGCAACGTCTGGCCCCTTCCGTGGTCCCCCTCATCAGTAACCAGATGTGATCTTTCCCTCCCCTAGCAGTCTTAGCTCCTCGTTCTACTCCTTTGACGCACTTGTACTGCTCTGCTTTGTTTGATAAAAATGAATATATTCATCTTATTCTAAATCCCTTGAAGGCACAATTGTCCTTTCTACCTGATTCCAGGTAGGATTCCACTGAAAGAGTTAACACCCCTTGCATCTAACCACCAGGCAATGTTAGAGTGAAAAAAGATCACCCCGTCCAACTTCCTAATGCTGTTAATGGGGAGACCACAGAATCAAGACCAAAACCCTGGGTTTCTTGGTTCCTTAGTTTTTCATTATACCACAATACCTCCATTGTCTTTGAGCAGAAGTATGATATATGTCGAATGTGTTTTAAAAAGTCATCTGGTAAAAGTTGTGTAGGCAATGCAGGGGCCTGCAAACACTGTAGGTGGGGATAGGACAGCAATAGTTCAGGAAGTAAGTAGCAATCACTTTAACTAGGTAGATGGCAGCAGAAATGGGACCAAAGGGGGCCAAATTCAAGAAACGTGATAATGGACTTATGAGGACTCATAACTGATTCAGGAGGATGCATTTATGGGATGACAAAAGGAAAGTCAAAGCTAAAGGAAGAGCAAGTGTGGTATAGTTGTTAAGCCAATCTGATTTCAAATCCTAGATCCCATGGGTTTGTTGTATGACCCTCCATTCATTCAATAATTATGTACTGAAAGCCAGTATGGGCCAGGCATTGCTCTGGGCCCTTGGACTGTATCAGAGAGTAAAACTGACAAAGATTCTGGAACTTACTTTCTAGCTATGTCTTAACCTTCTTAAGCCTCAGTTCCCTCATACATAAAATGGATAGAAGAGTATTCATTCATAGAGTTGTAGTGAGCATTAAGTACTCAACAAATATTAGGGAGCACCATGCCCAAGTTTTGGGTCTCAGTAACTATGATAAAAAATGATATTAACAGAAATTGTGAAGTTATACAAAGAAGGTGGTCTTGAGGCAAGATTCATTGTTGGTGTATTGAGTTATTAGCCCTTTATCATTCCAAATTCCTAATAACATATGTAATCCAGGATCATCACAGAGTTTGATCTGTATGTTTGCCTTAGGGAATAGTGGTTTGGATTTGCCTATGCGCCCTGATGTCCTTTAAATAAAGAAGTTGAGACTATAACAAAAAAAACCTCAGATTTTTCAGTTTGACCCGAGTTAGGTAAGAGTGAGAGGCTTCTGTGGAAGGACGCTCATCCTGTTCTGCTGGATCTGGGCTCTGTCCTGATGTGCAAGAGCCCCGGGGGAGCTGGGAATGAGGTTGCACACAAATACTTATCCCTATAGGATTTTCCACTTACTTTCTGATTTACCAGTCTTCTCTGCAGGACTGTGAACAGGATAAAATTGGGCCTTAGAAGCATTATGAATTAAAAGAATTATAGATATAATAATAATGATAATAATAACAGCTATAATTAAATATTCACTAGGTGGTAGGCACTCCACTGTATTTACACAATATATTTAATGTAATCCTCTGACAACCCTATACTTAACTCTTATTAGCCCATTTTACATATGAGAACACTGAAGCTCAGGCAGATTAAGTAATTTGTCCAAGGTCAGGTACCACAAAATGGTACCTCTGTAGATTAAGTCTAAGCAATTTGACTCCAGATCCAACGTTTTCATCACTATACCACTGGTCCTTAACATAAGAATCACCAGGGAGCATTCAAAAAATATTCCTGCCTGAGTTCCACCCCAAGAGAGTCTGATTTAATTGGTCTGGGTTGGGGCCCCGGCAGAGATGCTTTTTAAAAGCATCCAGGTGGTTCTACAACAGCCAGGTTGAAAACTCCAATATATAACACAGTCTCTGACTAAGTATACTACCCAAGGTCAGCTGCTAGGAAAAGGTAGAGCTGGGTTCTGAATTCAAATCTGTATGGATCCAGAGTTTGTTTCTATCAACACAATTCCCTTAACCACAACTTCTACCATCTCCACTCTATTGTCATCTTACATATGAAGTAGTTTCACAACTTACACAGCATATTCAAAGACATAGAAAAAGAAGGGTTCTCCAGTCAGCATAGCTTATGAAAACTGTTGCTTTCAAGAAATATTTCTTCTTAAATTCTCCTCTTCCTCCTAGGATTGTCCTCTGAAAAGTATTCTAAGTATAATGGTGAAACATCCAGTTTTCTATGAGCTTATAATTGAAGTGGTTCTTTGGGGCAAACAAAAAAATCGTTTTATCTAAAATTTTAATTGAGACCAATTCAGTGCCCTGGGAATCAGTTCCAATGTTTGGCTCAGGTTTCTGGCACTGAGCACTGGGCCCTGGCCTCAAGCCTGCACCGCGTAACCTTACAGCTGCACCGCAGGGCTGCCCGCCAAGAAGCTAGTCTCATGGCAGCACTGTCCTATGGCTTCACACCAGAACATTAAGCCTGAATACCCAGCCTGGCTGAAAGCAAGGCACATGACTGCAACTCACAAGAAACAAACAACTTACTGGAGTCACCTCGTGTGTCATGGTAGTAGGCTCTGACATTTCTGGGAGCAAAGAGGACTAATTTTCATTTGCTTGTGGAGGAGCAAAAAAGGGTGTTTTTCAGAGTTTAATTTACAGCCAGAAAATTGTGAGTTGATATAACCATCACATAAAAGGGAAAACTGTCCATCCCTCCCACTTGTAGACAAGTTTGTAGCAGCTCTTTCAAAAATGGAGAAGACCAGAAACCAGCTACCCTGGTTTAGGGGCAAGAGAGATCAGAGTCTGAAATCTGGTCTTCCCACTAACCAGTTGGGTTTGGGCATATAACTTAATCTCACTGTGCCTCAGTTTACTCATATAGAAAATAAGCTTTGGGTTTATTAAGTGAACTTTAAATCTTGGTCCTAAAATTATATTATATATATGAACATATATTTATAGGTTTTTCTAATTTGGTATAACCACTTGAAACACATCCTCTTACTACAGAAAATTTGAATTTCTGAAAGTCTGAGGTTGACATTAAAGGTGAATTTAAGAACAAGGAATTATAGAGTTTTACCTGTAGGAGGCTATTTTGATAATGCACTCCAACTTCCTCCTATTACCTTCTTCCTTTTGTCTTCTCTTTCTTTTCTTCCTTTTTTCAACAAATATTTTCATACCAGTCCTGGTATGCACCAGACACTGAGCTAAGCACTTTGGACCAAGACTGTGAGTCCTAGCCTTAAAAAACTTCCAGTACAGTAGAGACAGACCAGTGAACAGGTGATTAAAACACAGTGAAGTAAGTGCTACAGTAGAGGTGGCCATAGGGAGCAATGGAAAATAGAGGCCAGTCTTAGGGTGGGTAGGGGTGGGAGTCAGGGAAGCATTCCTGGAGAAATGACATCTGAGCTGAGGCCAGGAATGGAGGTCACCTTTGTAGGCAGAACACAGCATGTGTCTTTGAATATATTACAGAGGGAACCCTGGAATGGTGGGAGGATTGCCCAAGGGCATGCAACTGGCCAGTGGCAGAGGTGGTAGTGGAAATGGAGCTCCAAAATGATAAGTTTGGGTGAATGGCAATGACATAAATGAATAGTTTTTGCTTTGTTTTTTGGCAGGGGTGAAGCATCTCAATCCCTGCCTTTGCTGCCACCAATTTAAGAGCCAGGGTTTTTTTCTGGGGCTCTCTAGGCTTACGATCTCCTGTCTCAGGCTCCAGTGCCTTCAGCAGTGGCTCATCAGCACAGCACAAGCACAGCTCAAGTCCATCATCTGAGAAACACCACCACCGATCTGCTACGGATGAGGATCTTCCAGCTGCTGAGTGGTATGGATGGGTAAAGAACCTGGCTCTGACTGGTTAGGAGACAAGTCTTGGTTAGTGACGGCTCAGTTACAGGACAGTTATAAGTCATGATGATTGTTTTCAAATATTTGAAGGATTAGAAGAAGGGCTTAGATTCATTCTGTGTGGGCTGACAGGAAAGAAAAAGAACCGAATGAATGTATAGATACAGATAAGTATATCTTCCCTAGCTAAGAAGGACTGGAGGGTAGTTGCATTGGTAAGTAGTATCACCACCCCAAAAGTATTTTAAACCAGAGCAGAAGCACCACTTCACTGGGATGTTACAAAGGGGAGTCACGCCTCTAATAAGATTTGGATCACAGAGGCCTAATCAAATCTTTCCAGCTCAGAACTTCTACGTCTGTATTTTGACAGTTGCCTGGGCCAAATGAAGTCTAACTGCCATTCTAATTTCTTATCTATTCATCACAAAGTATTTACTTTCATTTCTAGTTCATTAGCATTTACAAGCACACTATTTTTACATTTCTAAGCAGAGATATACTTATTGTATTTATCACAATATCATATAAGAACACAAGTTAGTGAGAGGTTTTTTCCCCCCAGAATACATTAATATATTTACCACAAGGTACTGAAGCTGCCATATTTATATGACAAAATGGGCAGTTTGGTGCGTGTAATCTCAACACCCATATATTCAGTCTGGTGAGTGTGTACTGCCTTATTTTAGGTATAATTTGTCTGTGTACTTATATGCTGTTTGCTAGGATCTATCCTCTTACAGACCCAAAAGAAATTTTATAAACTTCCTTCCCTTTCTTTGACTTTGGATTTTATTGTGGAAACTGTGCTGCTGTCCCATTACTTTAAACATGGAGCAAGAGAAGGGAGAGTAGAGAAAGTAAACATTGAAGATATTACTGGCAGTTCTGACAGGTAGAATTTAGATTTTAACCCCCAAGTTATTCTGAGAGATCAGTGGTAAAGAGGACTTAACATTGTTTTTTAAGGTAGACCACTCTGTTGTCAACATAGTGAAATAAAACATATCATTTGCTTTTACCTGCTTTATATGCTTGGTGCATGCAATGTGTTACAAATTTATAAAATATATTAAATTATATTACTTAAATATATAATATAACATATATTAACTAAATTGTTTTAAATTACTGTTTGGATAATATATTACCTGAGATCTAAAGTGTGTATTTTTATTCTTTTTTTAAAGGAGTTTTATTTATTTATTTTTAGAGAGGGGAAGGGAGAGAGAATGAGAAAGAGAGAAACATCAATATGTGTTCCTCTCACATGCCCCTGGCTGGGGGCCTGGCTTACAACCCAGGCATGTGCCCTGAGTGGAGATCGAACTGGTGACCCTTTGGTTCAAAGGTTGGCACTCGATCTACTGAGCCATGCCAGCCAGGGCTGAAATATATATTTTTAAGACAGCATAATAGCTTTTTCAAAAAGGGGAAAAAAATGCAAGTCCATTTTCCAAGTATTCAAAATCAAACAACATTAAAAGGACCAGTCCAAATGAGCTGCCTCTTCCCTAAAAGGCAGGGAACCGAAATTCCTTTAACATATTATGCAAAGAAACTTGTCCTGTACTAGCTCCCATAGTCGGCCTCAGAGAGAAGCTTATGTTCAATTATACATAAAGGAAGAAGGAGCCCAGGCCAGATAGATCAGTTATATGGAGCAGTGTCCCAACACGCCAAGGTTGCAGTTTCCATCCTCTGTCAGAGCACACACAAGAAATAACCAATGAATACATAAATAAGTGGAGCAACAAATTACTGTTTCTCTCCATCTCCCCAATAAATAAAATAAATTTTAAAGAAGCAGATGGAGGTGGAGGAGATGGAGGAGAAGGAGGAGAAGGGTTCCTTAGCTGCTGGTGTAACTGTGCATTGGGCCAGAAAGGAATGCTGCGAGTGGCTCAGCCAGTCCGTGAGCACAGTGTGTAAAGTCACTGGGAACAGACTCTGGGGTAGCTGTTTACTGTGCATCGGATGAAAAAATCACCTCTCTCAAGGTAATCCTGTGTAGGGCTTCTCCTCAAAGAGTCATCGTTGTAAGACCTCTCATACAAATGCACAATTTTAGCTTTATAATGTACTGATATGGTAGCACATTGAAAAGGGCACCACTAACAAGGGCCAGCAGAACTAGCGAGTACAGTAGGAAGGAGCGATAGATTGGCTAATAGGCTATTTTTTCCCCTTCCAGTTGTTTTTCATAAGATAAAAATGTTTTTGCTGATCATATTTTTACCAGAATGGCAAAAACAAGGGGACACCAGGCAAAATCCCTTGAAATCACTGCAAGGACAAAGCCAGAACCAGGTGGGGCACTGGCAGAAGAGGGCAGTGGGTCATTCTGGGAGGACGACAAGGACAACTGGGAGCAGAGGATGGGACAAAGTCTGCAAAGCAGAGGAGCAGATGACGGAAGATCCTACAGCTGCTCACTGCAGCTGCTCTAACAGTCGCCTCTGCTTCAAAGGAGACACAAATGCATTTAGAAATGAAAGACATGGGGGCATAGGAAAAAAACGTACCTTCCATTCCCAACCAGCTGGAATATAATCTTCACAAAGCTCATCCTGTTCTCATGAGATGGTTATTTTTAGGATTCAAATATAGGCAAAATACTAACCAGCAAACCCTATGTGCTGCTTAGCTGCAAGCACAATGGATACTCCATTACTGAGAGCACACTGCAATCTCTATGGACAAACTTGTAGTTGGAGCCTTGAACATTAGAAATGATAGCAAGTTAGTAATATGTATGGCAGTTTATGGCCTTGCCCACCTGGTTTTGAACTCATAAAATGCTTTGTCACATGTAACCTTTGTTTGTATATGCTTTAGGCCACATAATGGTTTTAAGTCTTTTTTTTTAACTCAGTACAAATAAGGGTAGTTTATTTCTCTACTCCGAAATGATGTCCAAGGGCCGTGAACCCTACTGAACTCTATACTATCCCAAGGATTGGCTCTGGTTGACTTGAAGTCTTATCCTGAGGAAGCCAATACATGGTTGGGGAGCGAGAGGACAGGGGCAGGCCAACCCCATCCACCCCAGGGTTTTCTCGGGATCTGCAGACAGCCGAGGCAGTGCAGTTTGACCTCCTGATAGGGGCAGCATTTATGATTGGAATTAGGTGTTCTTCAAAAACATCAGGGACTGAGAGAAGTCACTAAAGACGCGGGAGAGAATTAGCAGTAACTGCTAGTTACTGGGCTGCTTTACAGATTAAAAAATAAAATAGACTCATAAAGATTAAGTAATTTGTCTAAAGTCACATAGGAGGGTCAGAAGTCAAATAAAGGCCTGTGATAATCCAAAACTTCTTTCTACTACCACAAGACACCTTGGAGGTCTCATAATTCTATAGACGTCTTTCTTCTTAAGGTTTATAAAATGCTGACAAAGAATGCTTATTCCACTGACTCAAAAAGTTGAAGCTCATTCTCAGGCGACAGATGCCTTTGTAGGGCAGCGGCCCTCTCCTGAGACTCCAGTCAGAACCACTTAATTTGCTCCAAGGCGTCCAGCCAGGCCTGAGTCTATGGAGGCCTAGGGCCACTATCTCCCAGCTCAGTTAGACATGACACACTAACTGAGAAGGGACAGTGGTCCATGAGGCATGTTGTCCAAACGGCCCTAACGATAACATGCTGCTAAACGCAAAGCACTTAGTTTGGTTGAGAGGTGTTCTTATGAGCATGTGTAGAGAACTGAGATAATTTCAGTGAGCAATTCAACTGACGGAATAATAATGCTGACCTCTAGCATGAAGCCATATTCATCATCTCATCCCACTCTGTCTGATCCTAAGATGCTAGTATATCCTATCACTCCCCAACTCTGTCCCTTTCAGAGAGGCTGTCTCTTCATTGTTCTCACATGCTTCCCTCCTTCTTCCCTTCATACCCTAGCTGCTACTGAATCTTCTGTCTAAAATGCCTTCACTTCTCCAGCCAACAAATCCCACCCCATCTTCCAAAGCCCTTCTCAAAACCCACCTTTTCTCCACTGAGGGAGGCTTCCTAACTCCAGTCAGCAGTGGCCTCTAAAATCCCGAGTAGCCATAAAGTATCTCCAGCTTTATTTTCAGATGTGATTATGTTCAACTTGGAACTTGACTGAGTGCTCTGTAAACTCTAGTTATCTCATCTTTAAATCTTACCCCCACCCCCAGCTGCTAAACTCAGCATCTTGAAGGCAGAAGCTCTGTTGACATACTAAAATGATTGGCAAAGAGAGAGCACCACAGCAGTATTCCCTGACCCCAAATCTACTCTTTTCTTTTCTTACTTTCTTTTTTCTACTCTGGGTTTAAACCAGATGTGAGCAGAGGAACACTGTCCTTTGAGACTCACCTACCTTGGCTCAACTCCCATTCCTTCGTGCAGGGGGAGCCCCACGTTCCTTCCTAACTGGGGACTCTGGACAGGGATGGGGTGATTTACAGTTTCTTGTCCTAGTCATCTCTGGCTCCAAGTTCTAGCTTAAATAGGCTTAGTTCAGTGGATGGAACAAACATATTGCTATCCCTTAGCCCGACTCCTGACATAGAACTCACTCTTTCTCTGCATCAGTACCATGGGCGGAAGCAGGAGGGATGCCTGCTTGGGAGAAACACCACGAGTGAGGCGTGTGTGTCCTAGACCTTCAACCATTAATGCTTCATTGAGGGTACTATTTGCTTTTGAGGGTTTAGAAGAAAAATACTTTGTATTAACTCTCTAATGCATAGAGTAGAATACTACAAATTTATTTAGAATTTTCTTTGCCATTTTCTAAATGACTGCTATATTACTTTTGCCATAATAAATAAATGAATGAAGGTACCTTTATTATTTTTCATGTATAACAATCTAGTGATTGCTAATCAAACATACACAGGCTTTTGAAGTCAATCATAATTTTACCTCAAATAGTTATACTGTGTTTTCTGTTTCTTCGGTCCAAATGGGATGTTTCTTGTTGAGAAGAGCAATCTAACATAGTGAGTGGCTACAGACTATGGCGTCAGATTGTGAATTCAAACTCTATTCCACCGCTTACCAGTTATGTGACTCTGAACAAACTACTTAGCCTCTCAGTATCAAATAGGGATAAGAATAGTACCTAGCTCACATGGATTAACTAAAGAAGTGTAAAGTATTTTAATAGCATTAACCCATAGTGAACACTATAGGGGCTAATTATTTATTCACAATGAATAGTTGAAGGCCTAAGACACACATGCTTCACTTTTGGTTTTTTTTTTCTAAACAGGCATCAATTTTTTATTTGGTATCACATAGTTAATGCTACATATGCATTGTTATGGGCTGAACTGTGTCCCCTCAAATCTGTACATTGAAACCCTAACCTTCAAGATCTCAGAATATAACTGTATTTGGAGATAGGGCCTTTAAAGAAGTAATTGAACTAAAATGAGATCATTGATCCAAAATGACTAGTGTCCTTATAAAAAGAGGAGATAAAGAGACAACAGCATAGAGAGAGGGATAATCATGTGAGGACAGAGAGAGAAGGCAGACAGCCGCAAGCCAAGGAGAGAGTCCTCCGAAGACGCCAAACCTGAGCACACCTTGATCTTGGCCTTCCAGCCTCCAGAATTGTGAGGAGATAATCTTCTGTTGTGTGAGGCACCCAGTACGTGCTGTTTTGTTATGGCAGCCCTAACAAACTAGTACGCTCATCAAAATTAAATTTCTGTAGCAAAATTAAATATGGCAAAAGCAAATGGTTTGGCATTACATTTCAGACAGTACTAAATTGGTAGGAGGTCTTAAAGAGGCTTTGATTTTTATGGGGCTGAAATCAGAATGGTTAAGAGCACTGGCTCTAGTCCTGGTTCTGCCACTTTCTAGTCACGGACCTTCAGGCAAGCAAAACCTAAAGACGTATATAAGGACTGCATAAGCTCCAGTACTTCATGGGTGTGTCAAGACCAAATGAGACAATGTTTACATATATACACGTACATACATACATCTACATATTTTATGCATAAGAGGTCATGGAGCCAGAGCACTAGGAAATGAAATATAATTTTAAAAGGGTCTTCCCATATACGAAAGAAAAGCAGAAAAAGAAAAAGTAAATCAAAAGCCAACCTTTAGGTGGAAGTAATTCCAGCTTCAGTAACTTTCCTGTCCTGCAGTGGAGACAGCTGTGATATAATGGCCTCATGTCCTGATGTGAACCAACAAACTGTGCTTTCTAAAGGATTACAACTGGCGCTGCTATTGAACCTATCTCAGTGTCTAATTTTAGCAAAAACTTGCTTCCGCAGTATTTAGTCCTACTTAAATAAACAAAGTGTGTTCCCAATTACTAAATGATAGCTCTCCAGTTCATTTTGTAACTTTTCCACACCCCAAGTCAAAAATCACAGACCAGGCATTTTCCCAACTAGTTTCTTTCATGAAACAAGCAAATAAACAAAATAAGTAAGATAGTCATGTCTTGAACTATTTTGTTTTTACTAAATAATCCCATCACATGAACAGATAACTCACATATTTATTTTATTTTTGTTAAAAACAGACTGGCTCTATAAAGATGATACCATGTAATAGTGTTTTTAAAGGTCTGACTGAGAATGGCCACATACATGTTCGTACCACTTCAATTACAAACAGAAGACCAAAGCTGAGTGATGGGAATATTTTTTTAAGTAGAACTAAGATAGCATGAACTACTTTGGTCTAGGAAGTATTTTTGCTACCTCACTAGTTTGTAATATGACAGAAGTTTGGTTTGCATGATATTTAGATACTTGGCTTTGAAATGTGAAAAACCTTATGTTCAAAAGCTCTTTAATTCAGTAGAAATATTTAAGATGCTTACTATAAATCACAGTGCAAATCTGTAAGACAATTGAATTGTGACTGTCAACAGAATAGAGGAACAAAGTCTGAAAATTATTTTTCAAAAATCTTCACATATAAAAATATAGATAGAGCATAGTTTAAGGCTAATAACAATAATAATAATAATAATAATACCAGGAAGTAGAAAGGATTTTCCTACTCCTTTTGCCCAATGTGAGAGGCAGTAACTCTTTGGTAGGGCTCCAAAGTTACTACAAAGGCTCTAAAATTCCACATGTTCTCCAAAAACATTAAATATGGAGGCTGGAGCAAAGCTAGGATGCTGTATTTCTTCTTTGTGCTATTATAACTCAAGAACTGAGTTATGATGTCCTCAAAAAATGGCACCACTATATGGACAGCGACTACATTTAACTTGAATTTCTCTGATCTGGGGGTCTCTCAGAATGACTGGAAGAGCTGAGAGGGTTTCCTAAACAAAGCAAGCTTTTAAATTATATTATTTCCAAAACCAGACAAAATCAAATAGAAAAAGAATCAGTAGAATTCCAGTCAAGGTGACACAGTGAGTTCATGCTTCAAGTTATCCTATATGCTCTAAACACATAGTAATGACAGATAAAACAGAAAAAAAAGAAAAGCCAAAAGGTCATTTCTGGGTTCAAACAAAGAAGATACATATCTTTGTGGACCAGAAACAATAGAAATGCAATGCATTGAGCTAGGTTAAAGTCGAAGCCTATTACGGTGTGGGTCTTGACAAAGCAGCTAGTGGCAACAGGAAATTCAGCCCTTGTGGAATACTGGGACTAATTAGCTCTACTCAATACCAGACCAAAGCCAGCATCTCAAAGCCAGGATCTGGGGAAGACCAACCAACCTGACTTTCTCACTCCCTGTTTTAGCAATGAAAACACCAAAGCCTTGGAAACCCCTGAGTTCGGAACAAACAGCAATGGTTGGTCAAACAACTTTCCCCAGCCCCATAAAAAGAGGCTGACTAAAACTGTGCCAATGTACTGCTTAAAGCCGTGAATTTGTGGGAAGCAGTGGGCCCAGGGAAGCAAAAGGATAGAAGGAAAACATCACTACAGCAACTGAATTGAGATATCAGCTGGCACAGTTAGTACATTGGCCATATTCCCAGTAACACTAAGGAGCAGGCACCCAACTAAAACCATTTTAAGATCTTGTTCTGAACTGGGGTATGGGTTGGGGATAAGGGAAGATGGAAATATTCATCAAATCAGAGACAGAGTAAGATAGGATGACAACAAAAATATCTCCCACTCAAAGTAACTGTGCAAATCAAAATTCTAAAACATATAAGAAGTTTTAATGCTGAAAAAAACAGTTGGGCAATGATGGAGTAACTGGTACCAGACTGGCTCTACTATAAAAAAAAACTTTTTAAATAGGCAAAGTAGATAAAACAACCATCTTCAGAAGATGAACAACAGGCAGTATAGACTATGTTTCCTGGGAGAAAGAAAACAAATGAGATGAGTTCCACAGACACCCCAGCTTTTGTCTAGGGCTCTCTGTGGATTGATGTACAAGGATAGAGAACTCAAGCAGGGCAGAGTGGTTTTGCTGAGCTTAGGGACTCAGGAAGGCGACTACAATTTGAGACACAGTACCAACAAAGAGAAAGATGTGTAGAGAAGAGCTCCAGAAATCTGCATAAGGGTCATGTTGAGCGTTTGTTTGAACAGTAAGATGCACGTATATGAGGTAAGATTCCATAAGGCCTGGAAAAGAACAACTACCCAGATAACAGCTCTCGGACAACTGCTAGGGACCTAGGACTTGGACAACACTTTCACAGATCAGGGAGACACTTGCATTCTAACCAGTGGAGAGACCTCTTAAACACGTGGGTGCTAAGAAATAATCTTCCATGGCATTTCTACATGTCTCGTGACCACTTTTGTCCCAAGTTGTCTTTCCAAAGATGTTTTATAGCCAACAGCCTTTGGTAGGTATACTCTTGCCTGCTAGGATTGTTTCCTGACCAGGATAATAAAGAAAATGGTTCCTTCCAGGGCGAAGTTTGGGCAGATTTGGTAGCAGCTACTTTATAAGGTGGAAGGTTTCCTAAGCTTAGGGTCCTTCTCCTGTGATGGTTCTTCTACAGACCCATTGTGTGTATGACACCCACTTGGACCCTCCCTGCATTGCCCTCATGCAGTTTGGGGGACAAGGAAAACCAATAAGAACATAAAGCTCATGAGGTGGGCTGTGCTGTGAGTAATCAGGTCCTTTGTCTCTGACCTAGGAGTTGCATAGGCAACTATTGTAGACTCACTTGCTGGTTTGCAAGAGGGGGTAAAATCTCAGACACTGAATAGTCCCTGACCTGACAGCAGGTACTTCACAGAGACCTCAGAAAAGCCTTATTATAAGTGTATGGCCAAGCAGCCCTAAAGAATTCTTTAGAGCAAGTTTGGCAAATCTGTTACACAGGCCGAATTCAACCAATAGTATAGTTTTGCATGGCTTTTAAGCAAGAATGTTTTTTGTTGTTGTTTTTTTTACATATTTTAAGGGCTGTGAAATTAAAAAGAATATGCCAAAGAGACCATATTGGCCTGTAGAGTCTGACATATTACCAGGTCCTTTAAGGAAAAACTTTGTTTACTTCTGAAGGTCTAGACTGTCTTAACATGGCTTAAAAACAAGACTTGAAGTGATCAAGCTGATTTGCAAGTTAATTAACTGCCTGCTGGTACAAAATACTCCTGAAAGGAAGACAAGAAAATCTAGACACTTAACAGCATAACAATCACAATTTCCAGCACCAATACAAAATTATTAGTCATGTAAAGAAGCAAGAAAATGTAACTCATAACCAGGATAAAATCCATCAATACAAATAGGCCCAGAATTGACAGAGACAGTAGAATCAATAGAAAATAACTTTAAAATAGCTATTATAAAATATATATAAAAATAAAGTAAAATAGCTATTATAAATATGTTCAAGGATGTACTGGAATACATAAAATAATTTGGAAAAAAGAAGGTACCTCAATAGAGACAATAAAATAATGTTAAAAAGAATCATGTGACTTCTACAGTGGAAAAATACTTATCTGAAATTAAAAAAAAACTAATCTCATCAGACGGACTTAACAGCAGCAGATTAGACACAATATCAGATAGTTGAACCTGAAAAATAAACAATGGAAATTATACAACCTGAAGCACAGAGAAGGGAAAAAAATACAGAGATCCCATGACCAGTGGGAAAACATCAAGGAGTATAATTCAGAAGGAGAATAGAGAAAGGTTGAAATGTTCCCAAATTAGATGAGAACTCTAAACTCACAGACCCAAGAAACTCAATAAACCCCAAGAAGGATAAACACAGGAGCACCACACCAAGGAATATCATAATTAAGTAGCTGAAAACCAGTGATAAAAAGAAAAATTTTTGATTTTATAAAGAGAAAATCTTGAAAGCAGCCAGAGGGGAGGAAAAAGACATCTCATACAGGGGAACAGAGATAAGAATGACTGCTGGTTTTTCATTAGAAACAGAGCAAGCCAAAAGACAAGTGTTGAAATAAAACAATAATAACAACAAAATATTTTCAACTTAGAATTATTTATCCAGAAAATATAACTTTCAAAAATGAAAGCAAAAAAAAAAAAGTACACTTTCAGACAAAGAAAAGTGAGAGAATTTGTCACCAGCAGACCTGGACTACAAGAATTATAAAGAAAAATTCTTCAGGATGAAGAAAATAACACCAGAGGGAAAATCAAATATACACAATGGAATAGACATTGGAAATGGTATATATGTGGGTAACTATAAAATAAATTTTAAAAAGATTATTGACTGCTTAAAACAAAAATAATTACAATGTATTGTAAGTATATATAATATACATAAAAGTAAAATGTCTGAAAACAATAACAAAAAATTGAAGGGGAGAAATCTAAGTATATCATTGGAAGGTGAATAGAATAACAGTGTTTGAAGGTAGACTGTGATAAGTTAGAGATGGGTGTTTTAAGCCCTGGAGTAACCATGAAAAAGTTAAAACAAAGAGGTACAGCTAATAAACAATAGAGAAGATAAAATGATTAAAAATACTTAAATACCCCAAAAGGTCACAGGAAAATAATAAAAAGAAGTAAGAATAGATAGGATAAATAGAAAATAAATAGCGATATAGATTTAAATCCAACCATACCAATAATTATATTATCTATAAATGGACTAGGCGTACCAATTAAAAGGCAGAGATCATTTGATTGGATAATAAAGCAAGACCAAATGTGTATACTGCCTATGAGAAATACATTTTAAACATAAAGGTAAAGATAGATAAAAGGTAAAAGTTTTGAAAGAGATATACAATGTAATAATAATCACAAGAAAACTGAAATGACTGTATTAACATTAGACAAAATAGACTTTAGCTCAAAGAATATTACCAGAAATAAAGAGGGACACTTCACAGTAATAAAAGGGTCAATCATCAAGAAAATATAACAATTCTAAATATGTATGCACTTAAACATAGAGCTTCAAAATGCAAGTAAAAACTAATACAACTGAAGGGAGATACACAGAAGTTCACAGTAATAGTCAGAGATTCCAATTTTTCTTTGATAAAGTAAGTGGTAGAACACATAGATGGAAAGTCAGCGAAGATACAGATGACTTTCACGACACTCTCAACCAGCTTAGTCTACCTGACACTAACAGGCTCTCTGAAACTGCAGACACACACTTCCTTTCAAGTGCACAAAGAGCATTCACCAAGAAAGACCATTTTCTATACTATAGAGCAAGTCTCAAATAATTTAGAAGGACTTAAATTATACAAATATTGTTTCAAACCACAAAATGGAATTAAGTTGGAAATCAATAAAGACATTTGGCAAAATGCCCAAATATTTGGAAATTAAGTAACATATTTTTAAATAGCCCATAGGTCAAAGAGAAAATTACAAGAGAAATTACAAGAAAATATTTTGAACTGAATAATAATGAAAACACAACATATAAACATTTGTGTAATGCAGTTAATGCAGGGCTTAGAGGGGAGTTTGTAGATCATCTTTGAATAGGGACCATGAAAAGAGTAAGTATAAATACCTGAATGTCTGAATTGAATTTTATTTTTATTTTTTTAAAGATTTTATTTATTTATTTTTAGAGAGGGAAGGGAGGGAGAAAGAGAGAGAGAGAGAAACATCAATGTGCAGTTGCTAGGGGTCATGGCCTGCAACCCAGGCATGTACCCTGACTGGGAATCGAACCTGCAACACTTTGGTTCGCAGCTTGCGCTCAATCCACTGAGCTACGCCAGCCAGGTGAATTGAATTATAAAAAAAAATTAAATATCAAGCCATTGGAAGCAAAAGAGTTCAAAAGGAGTTAAGATACAAATTTTTTGTTTCACAGTGCATTTCTCTTTAAGTGTAGAAGAGAGCCCCATAACTGCTCCATAGGAAGAGGAATGCCTACAGAGTCCCAGGTAAAGCTGAATGTATATTTAAGTTAGGTCTATAAAACAGAATTGACGAAATAGATTAAAGAAGTTTAGTCAGCATGATTAATACGTCCATGTAGTTCTCAATTACACGCTCATAAAGATAGGTTCATTCTTTCAACACACATTTATTGCGCATTTACTATGTTGCATTAATATAGAAGTGGGGTAAACAGGGATCCTAATCCCAATTGGGATCCCAACAGGGATCCCCAAAATCCCAACCATTCAGGGATCTCACTTTGGGTAGGGGACTGGAGGAGACATACTATAAACAGCAATTAACAAGTAAAAATAGGTAGCATTTCACCACATGGACATAAATGTAATGGAGAAAAATAGAGCAGGGGAGTTGGGAGGGTTATAATTTTTAAAGAGTGGGCAGGAAAGGCTTTATTGCACAGGTGATATTTGAAGAAAGATAAAAAAAAGTAAGGGGGCAGAGAAGATTAAATAGGGCCTTGAAAGCCTTTGTAAGGACTTGAGCTTTGACACTCAGTGAGATGTGAAGCCTCTGGAGGGTTTTGAGCAAAGGAGCGATGAGACTCTGGACTTTCACAGAATCATTCCAGCTGTTGTGAAAAGGACACCAGTTAGGAGGCTACTGCAAGAATCCATGGCCGATAGCTGCTTCCGCTCTAGTGGTAATGGTTTATGTGGATGGGAATGATCTAATAGAGAGGGTGGGGATGATGATACTGGAAAGAGCAGAAAGTGGCTGAATAACTTTCTTTAAGTAGGGGAAGGTGTGGGATTTAGTGCCCAAGCCACAGGGATTTCATCCATAGTTACAGGATACCAGTGGTGGGGGGTGGGAGGGGGCAGGGTCTTGGGAAGCTCCTTTCTATTTATTCCCATTTCTTAGCAAAATGGGAAACAAGGGCTGAAAAGGAAGATGGAAGAGGAGGTGTTGGTGGCTGGAGAAGGTATGAAATAAAAGGTTAGGAGAATAAGAGAATGAATAGAATGAATTTGCTATGGTTAATCTTTTCAACCCTAGATACTTTTAAAACAGTTCTCTTACCATTATTGCTCCTGAATATGTATACATGAAGAAAACATCATTTTGAAGACAAGTAATTATCAATGTCAATTCTCTCTTTATTTGCATATTCTATTCCGGAGAGAGAGAAAAATCTGTCCTGAAGTAAGGGTAATGTGCCTAAGAAATACATCACTAACTGTGAAGGGAATGTTGGCAGATTTGTAGCTTTCTTGTACTTTCAAAGACATTAGATTGAGGTTCTCCGTTTTGAATTTCTTTTTTATGACAAAACTACTTTCGGAAAAGATTGAGTGTATTATAAATTTAAATGTACTTATGTGTATTTCCCTTTACCCTAAAATTACAGCTGAAGAAAAAATTTTGAGGAAGAAATTAATGTCATTCAGAAAAAATGATTATTTACGCAGCTGGATTACAAATTTTTTAAAAAGGAACATGAAGCTTTCTAATGACCACCTGGCATGGAAAGCTTAGAAAAGATAAGTGATTGTTTTTCGTGGCCTGAAAATATCATCTCAGATAAATAAGTTATATGTTTTGTCATAAATGTGCTATACATTAAATTATAAATCTGTAAAAACTCTCATGATGTAATAAGGAGATGAATTATCATTTTATATATTTTTTCTATTGATGCAACTCAGGAAAATATAAAAGCAGTCTTGTTGCTTTAGGAGACAAAGCAGTGTGTTGATGCTCCTAAAACATCGTATTCTAAAATTCTGTATCTGAGAAAAAATTCATACCTAAATTACAACATTTATGGACTACATTTACATATATATGTGTGTGTATATATATGTATATATATAATTTTCCAGAATCTAAGCCTTTTGTAAATATCTCATCAGCTCAACCCCCCCCGCCCCATTATGGCATCTTTAGGACAAGTACTCCAAGACAGGAATCTCCTGCACTACCCAACATGCCGGTCCAAAGGACAGGTTCCTTACAACTGACACTTTTTTAACAATGAGGTAATGGGTTTTCCTTTTGTGTGTGTGTGGGGGGTGTGGGGCAGAGGGCAATGGCAGAGTATTATTTAAGAAAATTAGGCCTCTTCCTATAAACAATTACTGCTCATGTTTGGGAGTGAGATGTTTAAAAAAAATCATTAGAAAAATTCAAAACCAACAAAAGACTCACTATATTGTACTCTACTTTTTGGTATGAATGAAGCAAAAATTAACCAAAGTAAGTCACTGGTTCCTAGAAAATATTTAAGGTTCTAAAAATGCTCTTTCTTTAAACAAAAAGATTTTTATTTATTTATTTTTAGAGAGAGGGGAGGAGAGGGAGAAAGACAGGGAGAGAAACATCAGTTGGTTGCCTCTCACACATCCCCAACCAGGGACCTGGCCTGCAACCCAGACGTGTGCCCTGACCAGAGATTGAACCAGTGACCTTTGGTTTGTAGGATGATGCCCAATCCACTGAGCCACACTCGTCAGGGCTCAATTACTCTTACAGACAAAGGAAAACAATTACAATGTTTGGGCAGAACTATTCGTTCTGCTTACTTCAAGTTTAGTTTTGAATAGCTTTAGGCAGTTGCTCACTCTTGGGCAAGGTCCATCCAGTCATCTCAGGTAGGTTTGATTTTTTTTCCAGATAAGCAATTTAAAAAATATTGGTTGAAATGGAGACAACTGTACTTGAACAATAATTTAAAAGAAAGAAAAGAAAATCTTTAACCTAATCCCCAAAAGAAGAGAAAATATGATTTACTATTCATCTAATAAATTATGATCCTAAAAAGAGGAAAGAAAAAATATTGGCTGGAAATGAATGACACAAATGTTCGGAGTAGATCCACCCCATGACCACCAGGGCCTTGGGGTCTGTGCAGGTGGTGAGGGAGGCTTGTCCTCCAAAGGTGCTTCTCCACAGGTTAAGAGGGACAACCAGAGCAACCTGGATTCCTTTAATACTACATTATAAATGGTTGAACAGTTATGGAGAGGACTCAAGAGTTTAACTCCAAAAAATTTTGAAGGGCCATTCATATTTTCAGTCCATACCACCTCTTGAAGTTAACAAGAATAATCATAATTCACTGAAATGCTTTATTATTTATCCAACATTTGTCTTCTAATTCCCTCACAGAAAGGAAATGCAACTCAAATAAAAGCAAATTTCAGTCATAATGCCTCTAATATAAGGTATTCCTGATAAGTTTTTTTAAAAAATTGCTAAAATGAGCTGTTTGTTTTATTCATAGCTTGTAATCATCTCAGCGATCCTTGCCCCTCGTTTGCACACACGGTTGAAGGCCAACTGTGCTACTCTGCACTCCTGCTTTCGTTCTGCAGCCACCAACCACGTTGGAGCAAGCTTTCAGCGTCTCGGGCCTGACTCTCCTCTCTTTCTGACGGGAGTGCATCTATCTTGTGTGAGAAAGGACAGCGTGCCATACATCGATTGTTGAAATCAACAGTTAATCCTAAAGCCTTATTTTGCATCATTAATATTAGACAGAAGCTGTACAACCTGGGGAAACTCAGAGCCAGCCCACATAAACTTTCTCGTGTGTGGACCTTGCCTTATTCTTCCCCAGGGAAGCTGAGTCTGCTGCCTCTGTGAGCACTCCGCGAACGCACTGCAGCGGGTGCTGTTCCAGACCACCACCAGCCCTCCGGGCTTCTCCAGGTTAGGCACCTCTCATCACTCACTCACTTATCATCTAAGTACGTACAGATATTAAATAGTGAATACACCTTTGTCAAATTGATAAATAATTCCACAAGAGGTTTGACCTTGATAACTTCAGTGTTCCTTTCCTGATCTGAAATTCTATTCGTCTCAACTGCCAGCTACAGACTGTAAGAACTAGGAATGTTTATGTGATTATACAAAAGTTGGTCATTAATGGAACGTTAATAATTTTCCTGCATTATGTTGGTAATTTAAGACCCAGACTGAAGTAAAATCCTGTTAATGGTCATTCTACATCAGTGCTGTTCAATAAAAATATAACACAAGCCAAAAATACAAACCACAAATTGAACTTCAAATTTTCTGGTAGCCACATTAACATGGCAAAAAGAACCAGGTGAAATTAATTTTAATAATATATTTTATTTAACACTACTACACATCCAAAAATATCATTTCAATATGGGATTAATATAAAACAATTGTAAAGATATTTTACATTCTTGTGTTGCCTTCACACTCCAGTGCGTATTTCACACGTGTACATCTCAATTGGGACTAGCCACACTTCAAGTGCTTCATAGCCATGTGTGGCTAGTTGGCGGCTGCTCTTTTGACAGCGCAGTTTCAGAGCCTGATACTGGAAGTGCTGGGTGAACCAGGAGCTTTTTAGGAATGCAAATCCTTGGAATCAGAATCTGCATCTCCACAAGCACTCTGGGTGATTGTGTGGGCATTAGAACTTTGAGAAGCACTCTTCTTGGGAGAATCCCAATTCTTGTGCAAGTGAAACTTTGTTTTGAATATTTTTATAACTTCTACAGCTCTAATCTGTATAAAATTTTTGAGAGCAATATGCTCCCTCTCACCCCTTTAAAAAATAATGTTTTCTTTTTCTGGTTACTAAAGCCTAACTTGTTTATATAGAAAAATTAGAAACTAGAAATAAGAACAAAGGAAATAAAAATCACTCGTCATTCCACCAACCAGAGATAACTAGTACTGACATTTTGGGTTTTATCCTTTCGGTCCCTAAAATGTTTATTTCATAATTACACAATAAATTATTATAAATAATTTAACAGTAACATAAAAAAGTTCTCCTTAATTACTTCCCCAAATGGAGTGCTAGCTTGATCTGTTTATCAGGTGAAGGACATCTGGGTTTTTTCCAGTTTGGGGCAATTAAATCAATAAAGTTGCTATAAACATTGGCTTTCAGGTTTTGGGGTAAATATATAGGATTCGGATTCTATTAGAAAACATCTTTTTTTAATGGCTGCATTGTACTTCTGGATTTGAATGTATATGAATATATAATCATTTATTCATTTAATCAACAAATGTTGGATGCTAACACTGTGTTATCAGTGAGAACACTGTGACTGTAGTGTTAGACCCGATCCTCACAGAAATTTGTATTTAATCAAATCCTTATTAGTAGACATTTAAGTTATTTCTGATTTCTTTTTCATAAACAATGAGTTTTGAAATTTCAGTTCAGTCATTACTGATCATTGGCTATCTGCCCCAAATTTTCCTATGAGTTTTCAAGGGAAAAAGACGAGCAACTAGTCAGCACTCTTCATTGGAGGGTCACTGACCTATAACCACAGGACGACTTAGGGTTGGGTGGCAGGGTGGGAGGACAGGCTCCAGCCCCAGGCAGCTGCTGCAGGTTAATTCTAGGTTAAGGTGGAGAACCTGGGATCACCCTTCATATTCCTGGGCCAGTGGTGTTCAAACTTTAGTCAATAGCAGGAACACTTGGAGGGCTTATTAAACACAGATTCATGAACCCCACTTCTGACTCACTAGGTCTGGGATGGGAACCAATAATTTGTATTTTTAACAAGTTCCCAGGTGAGGCTAACACCGCTGGTCCCAGGAACATACTTTGAGAACTGCCCTAAGCTATTTCTGGGAGTCTCTGAGCCTGAATCTGAGAATGACTCTCCTTCATCAGTGGTTAGGAATTCAGAGACCTACAGGTAGTTATCTTTGAAGGTATTGAAGTTATTGATGCAGAAGAAAGTTCTGTGGGCCTGGAAGTTCCTTTGTAGGAACACATGACAACTCCACTTGTTCTTCTTGAGCTACTATCTCTAAGTAGGTTTTTCCCTGAGTTGCATTGGTTGGCAGAGAAATTTGTCCTCTGGCGCTCTCAGCACTGCCAGGAGGCAGGGAGAGACGTCACACTTGAAGGGTTCTTCTGGAGCAGTGTCTTAATATTAAACTCAAACAGTTTCTTTATCTGGGTTAGAGGTGACCGGGTTTCTAGCTGCAGGAGTCTTGTGAAAGCTGCAGGGCATTCACCTGAGACTTGAGAAGGGCTGGGAGAGGACACGGATTTGTGGGTGAGTGTAAAGCTAACCCCAGAGGCGGCTTTTTGGTTTCCTTCCCTTAGCTACTTTGGTGGGCAGGTTCAAATAAGGGATTTGTGTCCATTTCCTTCAATGGCAGGTTTGAATCCAGTTTTACCATTCAGTGTCTCCATCAATAACAGTCTTGGGAAATTTCCTAACTGTGAAGTGAGAACAATATCTTTCCTTAGGGTGACTGCGAGGATATGTAAAGTTACCTCATTAGTGCAGTGCTTAACACAATTAGGCCAGTCTTTTTAAAAATAATTATATTTTTATTATTTTTTAAAGAGGAAGGCAGGGAGAGATTTGTTGTTCCATTTTATTTATGCATTCATTGGTTGATGCTTGTATGCGCCCTGCCTGACTGGGGATCAAACCCACAACTTCGGCTTATGGGACGATACTCTAATCAACTCAACTACTTGGCCAGGGCAGTAGGCCCCTCTTTATCTCATGGGGCATGGGCCAATAGTGAGGTTGTGGTACACCATGCTGTGGGACCTTCAGTGAACTCATCACAAAGTATGCCTGGTTCTCTTTGTACATAGGGTACTGGTAGTACTCTCTCTGGAAAATGAAGCTTGCTAGCTTTGGGGGCCTGCTGTCAAGCCACTCACAAGCATACACATTCTCTGAGGGAGATGCAAGATTGGAACCTATGTTGAGTAACAGCTGACAGAATAATAGCCACACCACACTAGCATTTGAAGGCTTTCCAGGATCTAGGGCACAGGTGGCAAACACAAGGCCTGTGGGCCAAATCTGGCCCTCCATCTTGTTTTATCTGGCCCAGCACCTTGTTGCTACCTGGCGGCAGCACCAAGCTCCTTGCGCCTAGTTAAGGAGTAGTTTACATTTATATAGTCCTAAAATTACATTTAGCCCTTTGAAGGCAACTGCGAGGCTAATGTGGTCCCAGGTGAAAGAGTTTGACATCGCTGATCTAGGGGGACTATTCACAGGTGGGACTTTTAGAACTAGAAGGATAGGGCTGATTCATTTCAATCATTCATTTGACTGATTATCCTGGGAGGTTAAGTGATTGTCTCAGGGTCAGAGAATATTGTAATATTTAGAGTTCCTAACTCCGAGTTGGCCTTGTTTTCAGGTATTCCATCCTTTCTGAAACTTGCCCGTTGCTCTATCCATAAAGCGTTTGCTCTGTCTCCCTTGCCGTATATATATTATGTGTACAATATGAGAAGCACAGTTCTGTAGTTCCAAGTACTTATTTAGAGAACGATGTTGGGTGAGTAGGAATTTAAGGTCAATTGCAAAGAGTGAAAGTATAGGTTGGCAGAAAAAGCACTGGATTCCATTTTCACCTTCTTGCTTTTATATGCCATTCCCAGATGTTCTAAATGGTTACTACTACTTACAGGTTCACTACAAACATTATTCCAACAACCTAATTTTAGCTGGTTGGCATTTTAGTACCTATGTTCATATTTCAATTTTGTTTTAATAGTCAGGAATCTTTTTCTTGTTGTTTTAGGTGATGTGGACTCTGACCGGTGGGGTCTGTGTGTTGTGGATGCAATGAACAAATTCAGATGGACTGCAGAGGTCCGGTGCAGAAAAGGGACGGCACAGCCACTCTCTGGGAGAGGGCGCCCCGACCCTTGCCTGGACAGGCTTTTATTGCTTTTCTGGGAGCATTACATCGAGGATGGTCCTCATTTACTATGCACAGTTTTGCTTTAGGTGACTACCTTTTATAAATAACAAAGGAAAGGATGTTGCCGATTACTTTCAAGAAAAGGATATTGCAAATGCAAGGGGAAAGGTGGTTGACCTGGTTACACTCGTCCTTGGGAGTTTAGCACAGATTTTAGGAAGTTATTTTAAAGATATGCAATAAACATTTGCTGCCTCAATTCAGGGTGAGGGAATTTCAGCAAAAAGCAAGCCTCAAAGCAGCCTAGGTACAATGCAGGCCTGGTTCCCCACAGGAAAACTGATCTGGTGCTGCTTCGCTCCCACCAGTTTTCTGAATCAGAGGCTGGGCTACATTTGCCATGTCACATAGATCAGTTACCTCTTTTTTTAGGCATATCTCAGCCAATAACGAAAATTTTCCGCCTATGTCAGAGACTTACTTAAAGAACAAATAATCAGAAGTCTACTTTTTAAAAAGTCTATGAAATATGAGTTTTAGATACAACATAGAGTATTTGTTTTACAAAGGAAGGTCTCTTTTTTTCTTTTCTTTCTTAAAAATAAACAGGCTTTGCTTACAACAACAAAAAAAGCACAAAATCAAACCACTAGCAGAAGAAATGGTAAGAAACTTCAGAATGATACACACAGAGTGCACTCGACCCTGCTGCCTTCTGAGTTCGTGCTAGTTTGCGAGATGTCAGGCCCACCATGGACATGATCTCTGTTACAGGAGAGCTTGACTCCCTCCTCTCTTATCCCCCATTCTCCATAGAAAGAAAGATCACTGGTGGTGGTTCCCCTGTATTCCAGATGCAAAGGAGGGATTTTCTCATTGAGATTACATTAAAAATAGTGGGTTTCCATAAAATGAGAATTGGATAAATTATTGAGAGTTGGCCTGAAAAGCTGATGGCCATTTTATTTTATAGGTCCAAAAATTGGCTGACCACCAACAGACATTTGAAGTACAATCTGCCACAGGTTGGGAAAAGGTTATTTGTAAAATTTTGATTTACACAAATTCTTGCAAGTGTGCATTAGCCACACGTGTTCCTTGGGTTCCCGAACTTCCGCTGCACTGACACGTGCGGGATCCGTGCAGACACCCCGCTTACAGCCCAAACATAACCGAGGGTCTGCCACTCTGCTTGCTCTACTTTTGTGGATGTTTGAAATTTGTCATAATAAAAAAGATTAAAAACCTTCAAACATAAACTTTAAAAATCTCCAAACAATCAACCTAAGGCAAAACTGAGAGGCAATCTAAGAACCCCTAATAAGAAGTAAAAACCTTGAATTTTGAATTGCATCTATAATACAGATAGCAAACCAGTTATCCAAATGTTGAAAACATCTGAAATAATGGACCTATTCTGAAACCTTGGAAATCTCATAGCATCGTACTATTTTCATAATTAAGAATGTCTTTCAAATGCCTGTAATATTTTTTTAAATCCAGCAATATAAAAAGGAAAATTAAATTCCTCTTTTAAGTACCTTTTCCATATATTTATCTCTTTAAGATGTAGCTTAATAAGTTTATTAGAATTCCTAAGATATAACTTTATTAAACTCAGAGTTAAAACATTTACTCTTTACATATCTATAGTCAACTAACAAATTTTCTACAACATCCCTTCATATCTTTCATAAAAAAAATATTTTAAAACCTACAATGGCATGATATAAAAAGGAGCAATAATTATAGTAGACAAAATAGTAAATGAAATATGATACGCCTTCTGCTCTGTACCTATGTGTTTTACAGAGTAATCATCACAACAGACGTCCTTAGAGAGCAAAGAACGGAAAAGTTTAACAGAGGAGGAAGGCATGGAAGGCATTTTCTGTTATCTTCCACTGTGTGGTCTTTTACTGCACTGTTCTTTAAACAGCAAAAAAAAAAAGGTCTCCGCAAGGGCAAATCCTGCTTCAAATGTCCCCTTCCCCTCCTGACTAGAGAATAATGTGTTTGTGTAGTGTATGATTACACCCGACAAGGCTGTGAACACATGTGATTTACTCAATGATCCTATTCTGCTTCCTTTTAAAGATAAAGAATGCATTTAAGTCAATTCTGCATGAGACTGTAATAATTCCTTAGCAGGCTCCATTCAAACAGACATCTTACCTTATTTTAAAACATCAAGAGAAAAGCCATTTCCTTGGTCTTCATTTTCTTTCCAGACAGTATCAATTAATACTTTCATTTATTTCAAAAGACAAAACTATGACACGAATAATTACTTTCAAATCTTTTTAAATTTTTCTTTGTATAAGCAAAACATCCCCATAAAAGATTCACTTTTTAAAAATCTTTATATACAAATAACTGTGTAAGAAGGAAAAAACAACTAAAAACAACACAACCACCAACACAGCAGCCCCTGACGGCAGGCCAGGTCAGGGTGCAGATCTCGTGAAAACAAGCTGTTCACATTCCCAGAACCACGATCCCCCAGGAGGAATC